TCAGAGACATTTACCAGTCTGCTGCAGAACCGCTGGCTGTGGCCCTCCATGTGGAAGAAGAATCAGTGGCTAGAGGTTTGCTTGTTGCTTTTTCCCGTTTTTCGATATAGCTCTGCCAGGTTGTGCCAGAAGATGCAGGAACCATAGACCGAGTTGCCAGCGTTGCGCAACAATTGGTGGATTGGTGCCAGCCGACCTCACCGGTAGAGTTTGTGGTCCAGAATCGCGCTGGAAGAACTCATGCTTTACGACGCTACCTCCCTCATGGCACGCCCACAGATCTTAGCCTGGCACCAGATGCAGGTTAGTGAACAGCGCCCTACAACGGTCATCGGTCCTCGGTCTTCGGTCAGTGGTGATGAGGAACAACGGCCTGCTTCGTGGAGTACTTTCTGGCGGGCCTATCAAAGGTGGCGTGAGATTCTTCCCCACGTGCAAAATCTGACCATGCACAGTGTCAGACATGTTTTGACCTGCAATCAGAGATTTATGCCAAGCACAACTCGCCACAAAAGAAGTTGGATTTGGCACATGCCTGGCGCGTGCATCTACAACAGCAATATTTAGACAGGCAGATTTATTGGAGCTTGCGGCATTGCTCAAGGCAGCCAAATTCCAACATATTGACAACCATCATTGACAGCGTGGATAGAAAGAAGACAGTGTGGCCGAAATGGAATTTTGACCGACCGAGCAAGGAGATTGAAAAACTTGGTAAGCGTCCTCGGGTTGTGGTCACTGCTGCAATTGCACATGGCTTCATCACTTCTTTCTTCTTGGCACCGGACGAGTTAACTCATGGAGCTGATGCTTATTGCGAGGTCCTATGCCAGGTAGTTGATGAAGTGAAGAAGGTCCTCGGTCCTCGGCCTCTCCCTCCACACTTGGTCTTGCAAGTAGACAATACAGTTGCCCAGGCCAAGAATGGCTATGTAGGCGCATTTTGCGCTTACATGGTTTCCAAACAGCTGTTTCAATCAGTCACAATGAATTTTCTCATGGTTGGGCATACGCATGAAGACATCGACCAATTGTTTTCACTTTTGGTCTCTCAAGTGATTCGAAGATATCGCTATGAGACTGTGGGTGACTTGAAGCAATACATCGAAGCTGTTCTAGGTCCTTCCTTCTCATCGCGCACTGAAGGGCTCACAGTGACAGAAATGAAAAGTGTCAGAAATTTTTCTGAATGGTTAGCCCCTTTAGGAATCACTCAGCTAGGATGTTGGCAAACCCGCGACGGCATCGAGTCGCCCCACAGCTTCTGCTACAAGATGCACATGGATCTCACAGGGGATGAGAAAGCAATGGCCAAGCACCATTCATGGTTGAGGTCTTCGGCTTCAGACAAGGATGTCATGCGCTGTGTTAAGACCTACATGCGAGACAGGCAATTGCAGCAGCACCCTTTGTGTGTCCTTCCTGCAAGCAGGGTTGACCGTGTGACAACACTGTCTCCAACTCAATGCCAAGGGCCCTCAATGACTGACAAGGAGAAAGAGCATTTCCAACAGATGGCACAGCTCATTAGGGATTGCCGATATGGATACCACAGGGCTGCTGCAGATCCACACGCCCTGGCTTCAATGTCAAGCTCCTGAAAGAATGCCATTAGTCTATCCTGAGCGAAATCCATTTTTCAGCCATTTGCCGGACACTTCATGGCACATGAAAGTCCAGATTCATAGAGGTTGAGACTTGGAGACTGAGCTTTAGCATCGAATCGATGTACGACAGGCACCTCTGCCAGCCCTTCTCCCGACAGGCACCTCTGCCAGCTGCCGCTGCAGCAGCATGGCTGTGCCAGGCAGGCCTGGCAGGAAGGCAGCAGGGAATGACCGAGGACCAAGGACCACTGAATCCACAAGTATAGCCTGTAAAATACATAGATATTACTTCCAACTTCCTTCCTGCCCAGCCCAGCGCTGCGTGTTTTCCATGTGATACAAGGCTTCCGTCAGTCCATCAGGTGCTGGCCCAGGCTTCAGTCCATGGTCCATGTGGTCCTTGGTCGTTAGGACCAAGGACCGCACGAACCACAGACCGAGGACCAAGGACCAATTAGGCCAATTACCTAGCCGCTCTCATGCGCACTCAGCCCACTGCGCTCGGGTCCCGATTCAGCAGGTTGCTGTGCACTGCGAAGAATTGCTGCCCTGAGTTGTGTCATAGGTACAAGGGTTCTTGCCCTTGGGGATCTGGGAGCCACAAGCTGTGTGTAGCACATGTCGCAGATGACTGTCCTGGGACGCCTGATGCAACAAAGTCTTGGGCAGCTATCTTCCATCCACTCAAAACCGTTGCAAGCCAAGTAGGATGCCCCAACTATAGTCCAAATGGCCACCCTAATGATGGCAAGAAGGACAATGCCCATTCGAGACTCCATCATTACAAGGCTAATCAACAGGTGACAAAAATATCTGACCTGTTCTACTTTTAGTTTTGAGATTTGGGTTAGGTGTTGAACTGTACTATGGCTGCTGAATTGAGTTTGCTTCTAATTAGAAATCTTCCCTCACTAGCTTGGGCCACCTGGCTGGCATTTGGCAGCTTTGTATGCATTTACTACAAACCTAGGACCATGTACCCAGTGTTGGACTGAAGTGTGCTTTAGCCAGAGTGGAGAACAAATCATACTTGCGTGTGAACCTTGCTGCATGTTGACGAAACAATTATACTATCAAATTTACAGGGCTTGATACGTGCTTCTTCTACCTTGCACATTGCCAGGTGGTAACAAAAAGGCAGGGTCAAGAAGCAAGGACCAAGGACCCAAACATATCAATACAAATGTGTGCTATAGAGCAGCATTGCCTACTCAATGTGGTGAAGCTGTGGCCAATGACAGCCAACCCTTCCTGTACCTCCTTCTATCATTGAAACAAAATCTTGCCATCTTCAGATCTTCACATTCTTCACATCTTCCAAGCTTTAAAGCTTCACGCAGAAACTTTATAATTTTCCCATGGATATTCACTAAGTGGTTTGTGTGCTTGCGCACAGTCTACGGGGGCTCAGCATCACCAACCTAGCTTGGAAAACCAAAGCCCCAGTTGCAAAAACCAAAGCCCCAGTTACCATGAATAGAGTTTTCAAAAGACATCTGCTTTCTCACACACACTTGTTAAGTGGCACAATCTGCTGGGAAGGTATCAAGAATTTAGAAACAACCATAAAAAATCAAACAAAAAGCAAAGAATCTAAAATTGCAAAAAATCCAAAAATCCAAAAAATCCAAGAAATCCAAAAAATCCCAAAATCAAAAAAAAATCAAAAAATCAAAAAAAAACACACATCTATTCCTGAGCCAAACATAGGTCTGTTTTTTTTGATTTTTGGATTTTTTGATTTTTGTATTTTTTGGATTTCTTGGATTTTTGGGAATGCCTCCATCAATCAATCATCACATCTCCACACAGAAGTAAAAATCACGCACGAAATCTCTGCCACACCATCCAATGTCAAAAGTTCAACTGAAAATCAGGCATCATCTTCTTTCCAAATGCCTCTTTGGCTTTGCAAAGAATTCTGTGTGATAGATTTTGTGATCTCAAGGCAATCTGCTCTGCTAGTTGCGTAGTACTTTGTGTCCTCACATGGCCGTGGACCCCGAGAATATGAGTTTGACTTCGGCAATCGATGCTACGGAGCATCTCTTGCTCAGGGAACTACCTGCTCACGTCCATGTCGGGCCTCTTCCGCAAGGCTTGGTGACCCCATTAACGCTGCCTGTGAAGGAGCGTCTTGCCTTGTGAAATTTTTATGATTCTAAAAAATTTGGTATAGTTAGCGTAACTCGCGGAGACGAATTCTTTTGGATAGATTGAAAGATACTTAGGTTGAACCCTCAAAGTGCATCGATCAAGCATTTTCTCGACATCATCTACGATGTCAGCCATGCAGCACATCAACGTCGAGAATCTCAAGGCAGTCATCCGCGATAAGGCATGGCATGAGCTCCCTCCAGTCCTGCAACTCAAAGAACGCCCCCATTTTCAATACATTTCCCAATACTTTGCGCTCACTCAGACCGACGGTAACCTCTGCCTGGTGAAGCACTACTATGTGAACCTCTGGCTGATTGCTTTGTATATGACCGCGCGTGCTCCCTCAAACCTTCCGCAGAGGTCACACCTGGTCTGGAGCAAATCCAATATTACATCGTGGACAAGTTCCATGCCTACCGTCATGGCACGCAGTGCTCTTGCAACCCCCGCATCTTGGCAAATCTGCATACCTTGGTTGTTTCATTGATTTCATCTGCTTAGCAAACTCTACAACTTACCCAATGTTAAGAGAGTCAGAAAGTATTAAATTCACACTAACAAACACCAACCAAGATTGCCTGGACACCTTAGGTATCAAGAGATCGTTGGGACAACGTGTGAAAGGCGTCAATACCAACTTGGCAGAGCAGGTGTTTGCCTGGTTCAAGAACTATGCCCCCGTGATCAATGAGATGCGTGAGAATAGGCATAGACTTCTACTGTTGTGGCTCGCAAAGAGGCACAATGATGCACTCCTACATGGCAGCGCCTCATATCTTCGCTCCATCCCCAACTGCAAGTCCAAGACGACAAGCAAATCGTACAATTGTTCCAAGAACAAGAAGACTCCAAAGGGAAAGAAGGTGAAGAAGACCATCATGAAGGGAATGAAGGTAAAGAAAGTCATGAAGGGCATGAAGGTGAAGGGGATGAAGGTGAAGAACGTCATGAAGGCCATGAAGTGAGGCGCTTGAGTAGAAACAATTTTCATGCGCATGTGATCACGTCGATCACAGCTGACGCAAGATGTGAGCAAGACAAAAAGCTGAAAAACAATTATAAAACATTATAAAACATGGAAAAAAGCGCGCCCCCACAGCGTCCCGCTCTCTTTTTTTGGGGGGGGGCGGGGGGAGGCGCGGTCGTGTGGCTGGACTGCACGACCGTCGCATGGCTCACGCAGGGGGATATATATGCAGGCGCGCGGGGTTTCGACGCCTACACAAACCACCCATGGTGCTCAGCAAGAGGTGCAGGTTGCGGGAGGACGACCGGGAAAAACTCATGGAAGCGGCCAAAGTACCTGGCGTGAGTGTTCGCACCATGCACAAACTTTGGAACATTTTCCATGATCAGAAGAAAAGGAAAATATCCTGGTCTACGCGCCAAAGAACTTTGCAGAGGGAGAAAGCACCGCTACGCCAGTGTTTTGACACACTGACTCTTCCAGGCAGGCCTGGTCGCAGGGACGCGGTGTTACTCGTGGCCAATTTGCCAAATTTGCTGCGCCATATGCTGGACCGTGCCCCGCAGCTGGCAGACCTCTGGGGAGAAAACGCGTTGTTGCAGCCTGTGCTTTACCACGACGAAGCGCCGGCAGGCAACATCCTGTCTCTACAGAAGCTAAAAAAATGCTCCTTCTTTTACCTGACGTTTGACATATTCTTGCCTCTCATCGGAGACACAGCGGCATGGCGCAGTGCTGCCAAAAGAGGAGCTGAACCAAATAGAAGGCATTGGCTGCGCGGTCGCTGCGGCGGTCAGGCGCTGGCAAAATTTCCACGGGAGCAGAGTCACCGGCTTGAAGCAGACCATCCACCTTGCGGCCCACTGGAAGGTCCGGCTGGACGGTGGAACTTTTGACCTGAAAGGCGCCGGCGGGATTCGGCCACGCATGCTTTGCAGCAATGTTCTCAAGGCGCAAAGCAGAGTCGACGACGACCTGTTTTGCGAGATCTCTGAGTGGAGAAAAGAAAAGTTTCTCCCTCTCACAGACCGTGAGATCTTTGCGCAAGCCGACGCGCTCAAGGCCATAGAGGGCAAAAAGGCGATCCAGGCCTTTGAGAAGTCTTGTGGCCTACGCAAAACGTTGCGTGGCGTGTTGGTGGACCCTGTGGCAAGGGAACTGCTGCCGCCAAGCCAAGCAGCAGTAGATTGCACGCACCTTTATTTTGTGAACGGCTGCGCGAATTTTGAGTTGGCGTTTCTCTGGCAGGCTATAAACGCCGCCCTACCGCAGATGACACACCATGCCCTCAAGCTCTGTTGTTTGGAAGCCATGTGGCAAAGACCTTGGTCAAGTGGCCACAAAGGTCCGTCCCTCTTTGGAGAACTCTGGAGTGAGCACGCCTGGCACGCAGAACAGTTCAAAGGTGAGGCGTGGGCAACTTCGATAGTGGTGCCTTTGCTGAACTACTACCTGGACAAGTTCGTGCGCCCGCGCGGGGTTTGCCCGGACACCACTCGTTCGTTCGAGTGCCTGGCTCGGCTCTGCAGGGAGATCAATCGTTTGAGGTTTCGCTGGGCTCCCATTGCAGATTGGCAGGAAGTGAAAGAACTGGATGCTTGGTCACACGTGCACCAACAATGCTTTGCGCGCTGTTATTCAGCGGAAGCCTGCAGGCCGAAGCATCATTGGCGTCTGCACTTGGCTGAGTGGGTCATGATGCTCAAGTTCATGCCAGTTACTGTGAAAGACATGAGTCCAAGCATAGAACCTTCAAGTCTGGTGGATGTGGCGACCGCGAGGCACACCACGTGCACAATCCCAGTGTCTACGCGTCCAATGTGCTCAGCTCACTGCTACTGACGCAGTTTGACGGGAGTTCGCACATGTGCGGACTCCCTTTTTTCCGGCCCGCAACGATGGCGTCATGCAAGCAGCCCACAACGGCGTACTCGCTCTGGCAGTGTGCACGCAGTGGCTTGTTCTTTTGCTTTTCATCAGCGGTTCACAGCAACGCACCGAAGTCCAAGAGCACAGCCGATGCATCACCGACTCACCAAGGGTCCTGCGCGGTAGCAGCTGTTTATGCGGTTCTCAACACGGACAGCACGTACCAGAAACGCATCTTCTACGAGACTTCCTTCCAAAATGCATGTTGAACACCTGCAAAACGAAGCAATTCTGCGAGACTCGCTCCAAAAATGTAACTGGAAGACACGATCCAACCAGACATGAAAGTGCCATTTACATTGCGGGAACGATCCTGAAGTTGCAAAACACAATGGAACTGCATCAACAGCGCGTACACAAGAAACAGGTGAAAACTGTGGTTACAATGGAGGGACGATTCGAACATGATCCGAACATGACGCGAGACCGTCCGGAAACCGTCGTTCCGCAGAGCTTGACTTGCAAGGTTCGGCGCCATCCTTTGTATTGAAAAACACAACATTTCGTGCTTCCGCTATCTCTCAAACACGCACTTTGTTCGAGACTTCCTTCCAAAATGCATGTTGCAAAACGAAGCGATTCTGCAAAACTTCCTCCCGCAATGTAACTGGAAGACATGATTCAGCCAGACATGAAAGTGCCATTTAATGCCATTTACATTACGGGAATTGCAAAACACGATGAAATTCCAGTGACAACTCATCCCCCAGCAACACTGGCAGTCACATTTACAGTGCGGAAACGATCCAGGAGTTGCAAAACACAATGGAATCTTGGCGGCCCTCTTTGGTTACTATCTGGTTATGGTGATTGCGCTACTTAGTAACAACTGCAAGTGAGGTTATAAGTAACCTAAGTTGTGTTCTAACTGCTGTAATCTTCCTATCTGCGGGTAGAATACATATATGTATAGTTCCAAACATACATCTAGATACATTACATATATCTACTTAAGCTTGACTTACTAAGTACTTACCTACCTCTTACTAACTACTTACTTGGCACTTAGTAACTAGTTGCGCTACAATGCTATGTGTGCTATGTGTGACATATGCGTGTTTGAACTGGGCCGGCCGGCCCTTTCGACCAACGAAATCCACAAAATCAGCCAATGCATTCTCGCCAAAGTGGCACCAACGGGCAGAACATCTTGGAGCTGTCAAGCAGACACTACACCGAAGTTTTCGCAAAGATACGTTGACCCAAACAGTCGCGTAGCAGGGAGGTCTCTCGCTGGCAGGTGTTATGCTGTTTTTGCTTCACGCTGTTGAGCGCGCAACTTGTTTCACGTTGCTGAGGTTTCCACAAGGGTTTGTTTGCCCAAACAGTCTCGGACAGCAGGGGGGTCTCTCGCTGGCAGGCGTTGTGTTGGTTTTGTTTCATGCTGTTGAGCACGCAACTTGTTTCACATGGCTGAAGTTTCCACAAGGGTTTGTTTGCCCAAACAGGCTCGCACAGCAGGGAGGTCTCTCGCTGGCAGGTGTTGTGTTGGTTTTGTTTCATGCTATTGGGCACGTCACTTGTTTCACGCTGCTTAAATTTCCGCAAGCATATATGTTTGTCCAAACAGTCTCGCGCAGCAGGGCGGTATCTCGCTGGCAGAGATAATGTTGGTTTTGTTTCACGGCGTTGCGCACGCAACTTGTTTCATATTGTTGGTGCTCCGTGCCAAAAGACATGCACAAAACTTGTGCGTACAGTCAGATGTGTTTGTTGCAGTAGTATCGTTTTTTGCAGATTGCAAACACGCACTCTAGCTTTTGCAAGCAGAAATGCATTGCTGCAGTCTGATGGACATGTGACCATGTTTGTTTTCAAGAGTTGGCATTTGCAAAGCTTTTCATGCAGTGTGATTTGTGCATTGTGTTGGCTTAGCAAGCAAGTGTTAATCAGTGATCAAATTTGCGCAGAAAATGGATTCCAGTTTGCGAGCGGATATTGAATCCCGCCTGAGCCGTGCTTTGGATGGTGAGCAGCTGGTGGTCAATGTCCACGCCATCATGGACACATTGGAGAAAGCGGGCTTGGTCTACAAGGCCAAGTTGCCGCCGCAACAAGTCGGTGCCCATCCTCAGAATCGTGATGGGCTTGGCGTCGTTTCCGATGCAGTTCATGATTTGCTGGACTCGATTGCAGAAGTCGGGTACATGCCACAAAAAGTGGACGCTGTTGCTGTTGAGATTCCAGACGGGAGTGAGGGAGACGAAATCCGTCGATTCAATCACCAATTGGTTGGCATGTCTTCGGGACGCTTGGGTGTGATGCAGGCTGACAAGCTCCGTGCGGCGACGCTGTGCGGATCCCACACCAATAACGGTGTGGAACACAACAACGAACGGATCACAGTGGATGGAAAACTTTCACTTCAAAAGATCCAGGAGCGAGATCCAGGGCTTCACGATGCTATCGTGAATGGTTTGCCGTGGCGCATGATAACCAAAGCAGTTGCCCAGAATTTCCCTGAATTGCTACCTTTGATCCAGCAGTGTGGCAACGCCAGCCTGGTCAAAGGCGAGGGTGAATTGCAAATCCTGATAAGGCTACATAATGTCTTCATCCAAGAGAAAAAAGATGGCCTGATGCCTGACTACCAGCGCATCAAGAAGAGAGCGCTTGCAAGTCGGCCAGCGTGTGCGAAATCAGCTCCCCATTTGTACCAGTTCATGCTGAAATTTGCAGGTGGCCAAGATGGCAGTTTCTTGGCGGAAACGGAACAGTTTTGCCGAGCTCATGGCTCTTCCACAAAGAGCCTTGGTCCTGCCTTGTGGGAGATCTTGGCTGCAGATGTGAAGGGCCGAACAGACCAACATGTGTGGGTCCGTCACGCTTTCAAATTGGCATGGGTGAAAGACATTGGCACGCCGTCAGATATCAAGAGATGCCTGCACTCTAAAGAATTTGCAAAGAGGTTGGAGGTTGCCAACCAGCTCATGTCGGAGACAAAGGGCATCGTAGACAAGCTTGGCATGCCCTGGGCCGTGGATGGCAAGGTTGCTGCTGCGCTTGGGTTTACTCACATTGCAATGGCAGCTTTCCTGTTGAATGCCAAGATTCCTGGCGAGTCCTATCATGACTCATTGGAGGGCATTGCGCACGATTTCGTGCCTTGGAATGTACTTTGGTCAAACTTGCATGCCGTGACAAAGCCTACATGTCGTGTTCTGCGCTTTGCGCTCGACTTGTTAAATAGTGTTGTACACAGAGAGCTATGTATCGCGGCCCAAGTGTACCATTCCAGGGCATCACCCAGAAGGAATTGGCATCCCCGTGGGCAGATTTTGCGCAGAAACGTGACACCGATTCATCGCGCGCATCTGCTGGAGGTGACCGCTTGAGGGAACTTGATCAAGGTGGCATGGTCAAAAACCCACAGGATTGCATGGCAGGTGCTGGGTTTGCTGTAGGGTCATTCGTCAAACGTAAAGCCACACAAGAGCATGGTCAGATCTCCGGAGTGACTCAAGACCTGGTTCGTGTGAAGCAGCCTGATGGCACTGTCCTGAAGGTTCCTATCAAGGCTTTCCTTTCAGGAGAGTGGGCCCGGTTCACCCCAAAGGCAGAGGCTACGGTGGTCGATGACTTGTCACTGTTTAAGCCTAGTGATTTCTCAGATTGGAAGGTCTTGAATGAGAAGGCACGAATCGTGCTGGAGTTGGCACAGCTGCATATGAGGCATGAAGCTGAAGCATGTGATTCTTTGAGGGTTGTCGTGAAACCAAACCGGGCATGCATTGTAGCCAAGCCCTTGAAGAAATTGACTCTGGTACCAGCGACCGTGAACATCAAGTATGACACAGAGCCTTCACCTGACCGCTACGTGATCCAGTCAAATGGTATGGCATTTACTTTGAACCCCACGGTGATCTTTCCAAAAGAGGATGGCGAATCTGGCTTTGTCACACCGTTTTGGTTTGTGGAGACAACATCCAAAGTTGAAGAAGCTACCATGAAGGTGACACTGGTGCAGGTTGGAACCCCCAAGATTCAAATCCCCATTCTGACGAACGTTAGCCAACTCAACAAGGGTGACCGCCTGGCCATCTACAAGAAGAAGGTGACGAAGGAAGCAGAGCCTCTCGATGTCTCTCCGGCGGCGAAAAAGCGTCGAAGAGAGAAAGGCCCTGAGTGAAAAGGACATCGAGCCTGTGGAGTCGAGCCTGATGGAGAAAGAAACAATTTGACTTGTGTGTGTTTTTCATTGGTTTGCAATGAGCAAGCTCGCACGCATGCTTTGAGGCAGCAGTGCAGGGCCACCATGCACGCATGCATGCATGGAGTTTCGAAACAGTTTTGATCACTTCATGTTGGACCGTCATGTACTGTGCATGTTTCTGGTTGTCTTTGGCATTGAGCAAACTCGCACGCAGTGCAGCAGTGCAGGGTCTTCACGCATGCTTCAATCATGTTTGTCTGAGTGGATCAAACTTCTGAGTGTGAGTTTGTTGTTGCTGCCGCCGCCCATGTCCATGGAGCTGATTCGCCAATACAAGATTGTGGCAAAAGAAGGGACATGGACCCCAACACAGAAGGAAGAGTGCGGAAGGAGCTGGTTTCCAAAGTGGGACCGCGGATTTGTCCACTTTGTCACAGGGAGATCTCTAGACTTGCGGAAGGAGAAGGAAGGTGGGACGGTGGACACCATCTATTACCAACAGCTCCTTGAAATTCAGCAAAAGGCCTGCAACGCAGCTCTGGCGCAAGCCATCTCAGATGATGAGACTGAGGAGCCCAAGCGCAAGAAGATGAAGGCCAAATCCAAAGTCCACCAACAGTGGGCACCGCACAGCGTGAAGATTGAGATGCCTGGGTTCGTCTCATCCAAGGGTGAGTCTTTTGAGCCCATTCATGCATTGGCACTGTTTGAAGGTGTTGGAACACAACACATTTGGTTAGAGCTTTCTGTTGCAAATTTA